CGACCCGCGAACCGCAGGATGCGGAGTGGTCGGAGGAGCTGGGGGTGACCGGAAACGAGATGAGAGAGGCGGCCAAGAAGCTCGGCCGCCTCAGAGCCTCCGGCCCGGACGGTATTCCGGGCCGCGTATGGGCTTCGGTCATGGATGTGGTTGGTGCTCCCCTGAGGCACCTGTACGACAGGTGCTCGAACATGGGGCATTCTCCCGGATATGGAGGAGGGCCAGCTTGATCCTCCTCCATAAGGAGGATAAGCTGTTGGATACCCCTTCGGCGTATAGGCCGATCTGCTTGCTCGACAACGCGGGAAAGCTCTTCGAGCGAATTATAGCGGCCCGCGTTGTCCAGCATCTGTCCCGAAATGGCCACAACATCTCGGAGGAGCAGTATGGCTTCCGTAGGAGGGTCGACGATAGATGTGATCGACCGCGCAAAACCCTCACGGAGGCGGGGGGGAGTTGCGCTTCTGGTGTCTTTGGACATCTCGAATGCGTTCAACTCCCTCCCCTGGGACAGGATAAGGGAGGCGGCTCAGTACCACCGCCTCGCTTTATATCTGCAGAGGGTCCTGGGTGGCTATTTCCGGGACAGGATGCTGGAGTACGTCGACGCTGACGGACTCCAGCACCGCAGGGGTGTCACGCGCGGGGTTCCGCAGGAGTCCGCTGGGGTCCCTGTTTGGAACCTCGCGTTTAACAGGGTGTTACTGCTTGCCCTCCCTCCTGGCTGCCACGTCATCTGTTACGCGGATGACACGCTTGTGGTGGCTGAGGGGGACGACTGGGGGAGTGCCCTGGCGTCGGCGAACGATGCCGTCGCCAGTGCCGTGCGCGCGATCAGCGCCATGGGACTGGAAGTGACGGCCCATAAAACGGAGACCATGTTTGTTTATGGCCTCCGTGGACCTCGCGAGGGTGCTGATCGATACGGTTTCCGTGGAGGTGGGACCCTATCTCAAATATTTGGATCTCACCTTGAATGGCTGATGGGGGTTCAGGAGACATTTTGATTCCCCGGATGGAGGCGGTGGCTAACAAGCTGAGCCGCCTCCTACCCAATCTGGGAGGTCCGGGCGCCAAGGTCAGGCGCCTGTATGCGAACATCGTCCATGCGGTGGCCCTGTATGGGTCACCAATATGGGCTCAGAGCCTGGCGGAGGAACAACGGATGTGGCAGGTGCAGAATTGCGCCGCGTCTCGCCAGGGCCTATAGGACGGTGTCGCATGCGGCGGCCACGGTCCTGGCGGGAACACCCCCTTGACCTACTGGCATTGGAGCACGCCAAAGTCTATCGGCGTGTCCGCCAGGTCAAGGAGCGGAGGGTCGTCCTCACTGCCAGGATCGTGGAATCTCTAAGACTGGAGGTGCAATGGCGGGTCATCGAGAGCTGGAAGGCTCGACTCCATGAACCCGCCGTCGCTGGCGCCCAGACGATAGAGGCCATCCGGCCCTGCCTGGAGGACTGGCTCGGCAGGACCCACGGGAGCTCCTTCCGTCTTGTGCAGATGCTGACAGGCCACGGATGTTTTGGCTGATACCTGCACAGGATCGGAAGAGAGTGCACGGCACGGTGCCCGCACTGTGCGGCAGACGAGGACTCCGCGCAGCACACATTCGAAGAGTGTGATGCTTGGGTTGCGGAGCGCGGGGTCCTTGTCCCAGTGTTGGGCGGTGACTTCTCGCTGTCGACCATTGTCCGATGCATGGTCGATAGCGAGACTTGGAGGGAGGTCTCCTCCTTCTGCGAACGCGTAATGTCGCAGAAGGAGGAGGCCGAGCGTCGTAGGAGGGAGAAGGAATCATCTCCCTCCGAAGTCGGTTGCCCCGGACGAGATGGGGGATTGCGGCGTCGACTAAGAAGCGCCAGCAGTTCCCCTTGTCGATTGATTAGACGGCCACTCGTATTTGGGGGGTTTTTTCCCCCCCCTCCTATGTTAGGCCTGCCAACGGCCCCCCCGAATGGGGCCCACGGGATGACCTTCTCGTGTCCGGTGGATCCGAGTAGACGCACTCAAAGGGTTCAATACTCCCCGATCACGGAGAGTTGCGCCAGGGGGGGTGGAATATTCCTACCTCCCTCCCCCTTTACGGCGCTGGTGCACACGGGGTGAGGCGGGTTGGTGCCACCCGCCCCCCTCCCCTCCCCCGCCTTAATAAAAAAGGGGGAAAGGGGCGAGTAGTCCACCTCCCATGGTGTGCTGGAGGCAATGTCAACAGCTCCCCCACCGGGAGGGGCGCGCCCTGCGGGGCGCGCGGGCGCGGGGCGATCGGGAAATATACAGCTGTGTTCCCCGTTTGCTCCAGTCATGCGCCTCGGACGGCACCCGTATGGTTTTAGTGGGGACAGTCAAGGTTCCTGAGTCCCATACTCCCGCGGGTAGTTACACGCCCGGGGGGTCAGTGCGTAAAAGCATTTCCACGCGTAAAAAAAAAATCGCGCAGGGGGCCAAAGAGGGCCTGTTCATCGGGGGCCTGTTGGAGGTCTCTGGTGATCAGTGTGAAGGAAGGAGGGGCTTGCCAGGAAGAAGGGCGAGCTCCTTTGCGACTCCGGGATGGTTGTCGCCCGCCCTGCCAAAGGCACGGAGATCATTGATGGGGTGGACCCGTAGATCACACCGGACGAAGTGGCCGCAGCAATTGCGCGGAATGGCAAATGTTGACCGGGGGAGGTGCGGTCGGGGAGATCCGCACTGCTCCCTCCGGCAGGCGCACTGCATGGGTGAGGTGCCCGGCGGCCGCTGCCCATATGGTAGTGGCCGCTGGGATTGTGAAGGTGGGGTGGGCTGCGGCGAGAGTGGAGCCACTAGCAGCTCGCCCCATTCAATGCCAAACTCCAGTGCATGGGCGCAGTGGATCGGTCGACCGGTGTTACCGTGGTCGGCCGGGACACCGCGCCGCGAGTTGTGGGGGGGCGGTCACCTGTCCCCTCTGTCTCGACAGGGGAATGCGAGCGGATCATCGGATGGGGTCCGCCCAGTGTGCTCGTCGCTCGGGTGTGAGGGCGAATAGACGGGCGACGACGGGGGGAGGAATACTCCCCCCGCCGGCCCCCCCGACCCCTCAGGGGATCCGGCGGGGTGCGGCACTGGCACCGCCGAAGGCAGCGGAACCTCGAAGAAGAGACTGGCCTCCAGTAGACCCCGAGACGGAGGCCCTGAAAAGAGAGCCATCCCCCTCTGCGGGAAACTTCCCGCGGAGATGTCGGGGAGGGAGGGGGCAATGGAGGTCGAGTGACTTCGCTCCCTTCCCCCCAATGGGAGGGCGGCCACCTAGGGAATGGGTGGGTGGCGTTGTAAGTGGCCTGTTGGCCCGATCGCCATTTCCCCTCCCCGTTCGTGCCCCCATGTGCGCATGGGATCGCGAGGGTGGCCTTAGCCAGGACGGGGGTTCCCCTACATGAGTGGGGGTCCCTCCCTCTCGGCGTCGGGGGCGTCTCACGGGGGGGATTGGGGCTTGGGCTGACTAAGGTTGGCCCTCGTCACCTCCCCTCGGGGGCGCTTCGGTCCTGGTGGGGACGACCGACCACTCTTTTGCTGCCTCCCGCTGGGCCCCCTGTCCGGGGACTGGGGGCGATGGGGCCTTTGGTCGCCGCTGCTCACCTTCCCAGATTGGGCGCGGAGAGGAGCCTCGAGTCCCGTCTCGAGACTTCTCCCCATCGCGAGGGGATAAAATCCCGAGCGAGGGGTCTGGCCTGTAAGGCGGGACTGGGGGGGTTCATGAAGTATGCCGTTGGTGATTTCGTGGACCTCCCCAATCATGCCCTGAGAGGAGATAGGGGTTTTTTAGCAGGTATGGGGTGACTGCAGCATGGAGGCACCGCCGAGTCCCACACTCCTCTGGAGTTCGGGAAACTCCTGGGGGTGCGTAATGCATTTTTCTCCGCTTACAAAAAAAAGTCGCAGGGGTTGCGGTAGTGTGCGGACATGCTCCTATGGAGCTCCGCTATATCTGTTACTAGTGATAAGTATATAATCATTTCGCTGGATTAAATTAGTATCGGCTATTTCTATACATCAAGCGGATTGCATTGGTATAATTATTATGTTGGATATGTTAGAGATTGTCGGACAATAAGTTATTTAAGTTCTGAGTTGCGTCGGAGTATTGCTTGCTTCTGGCGACTCATGTCTTTGTGATATTACACACTATTACGACTTATTGAGTTGCTTTAGGATGAGTGAGTGGCCGATAATTGATTAATCACGGAGTAATAATTAAGTCTGAGTAATTCTCTTTTACTCCTATTATCATTATTAAAAGTTGCATATATTACATCACGGCAGTTACGGACATGTGGCAGGTTAAAATGGTCGATTTGTACAGTGTGTGAACGATATATGGCCAAACGGCAACAAAGATTCTCAAACGAACAAGTGCCACGTGATCTACAGATAACTAACACCTATACCTACTCCACTCTCCTTGTCTTTCGTTTATTTTATTTTGTGTATCTCAGTTACGTACTAGCCTGCTCTCCTTGTCTGGTCACATATACAACATATAGGATAAATTTCTATGATTATCAGTACTATCTTATTAATTTATTTAACATCTACCATAAGTACCTTGTCTTATCGATATTTACTCCAAATGACTAACGATGATACTTTATAATAGAGGCATGTATATATACATTTTGGTACATGCGATTATAATTCACTTTAAGAAATATATTAATTTACAACAATGGTTATGTTACTAAAATCCTAGGATAAAGTATATAATATCATAAATGTGAAATAATTTGAGTGCTTATGTCTACGTCTTATCCTTCCATGTAATAACTAATATAGTAACCACTGAACTGGACTTGCGTCATATAGTGATACTGCACACTCAGTCAAACGAGTGTAGTGAGTGTTGATTTCCGGGGTGTTTTCGGCTTCCTCCTCTCACTGTGTGACAGTGAGATTGGATGGTTGCTAGAAATATTATCTCTCGCCTTTTGATGCTTTCGCCACAACAACTTGGCCTGGAATCCAGATACCATATGGATGGATTACATGATATTGGAGGAATGACAGATGGATTTCAGAGTGCCTTTTGGAAACAAACGTATAATGATTTATAGACAGATAGTACAGAACAGGTGAGACGAGTATGTTATATTGATTTGTGTAATGGTTAGCATCAGAGTACTAAACTAAATTTATTGTGGTGTCTCAATCTGTGTTAATGAATTGTGCAAAATATGTAAAGATTTGTCATTGGAAAGACGTAACTATAGAGATAATTAAGCCATATAGTCCTAAGACATTTATTATTTAAAAAATATACATAATGCATTCTATTTCTTTATTTCATACTCTTTATCACTATTCGATCTACGAAATAATTTTCGATACGTCTGTGGCAAGTTGCTACGTCTTCTCTTTTACACTTAAACTGTTTCATTTGTATAGTTTCACGTGCTGTGTTCATATCTGTTTACTCATATTAATTATCACAAATAAAACTTATGGAAAATTATATTAAAGAAACCGGTTGATTGTAACGTATTATTATATCTTAAATTTTTACAAAAATTTATATTTTTGCTCATTACGTAATAAAATTAACAATAAAGATCTGCATTTTACAATCAGGTTGTAGACCTGAGAGGGAATACACATTTGACACTTAGCAAGGGAGCCACCAATCAGAGGTGTGTTGACTGCCCTGTAAGCGCGTTGATGGGCAATGTGGCATAGGTTACATGCACGGTAATTCAGTATCTTGTGAGTAACCTGTTGTGTGTGTAACATATGCATACATATATTCTTGAATATTAGTTTATTTATTTATCCGTCTGTATATTTTTCCTTATACTTCTCTATATTTTATTGTAGGAATCAGAAATTAAGAATATATATTATGAATAGATAAGTCTGTCATAAGTCACTATCATAAGTTACATATTTATGTGTATTTATATGTACTTATTGTGTGTATTTGTAGGTTATATTCGTTTACTTGATAACATTTGATGCCCATTGTGCGATGATATTCTTCCTTTATGGAGTATGTCTCTTTTATTGAGATAATGTTGGATTGCTGCGCGGCACTGGAAGTGGACGCCTCTGTATTCGAGATCGTTAACTGATATGTGCTGGTGTCTTGTCTCCCTTGATGCGGAGATACGGTACTCCTAGTACATGAAAGGAACGGATTGATATATATCAAAAAATGAGAAAAAGAGGAGCGATTTGGATGTGTGAATGAATTGCTCCATGGTTGGAATTTTCTCGCATGAAAGGGGCTCTTCTCATCCGATTCTGCGGTTCGGTGACTGCCTCCAAGTTTTGAGAGTGAACTTATAACTATGTGGTGATCGTATAGTGAAGGACCTTGGCTAGGAACTGAAACTTAAATTATTTACGGAGTTTATAAGACCATCGATTTATATCTTGATGTAATAGAGTAGTGATACTGGATTTTGCTAATTAGGAAACCTTTCCCGAGTTTAGGAGAATAATGTAATTACGCACTGATACCTGCGTTGTGTTGCAATAGTCTCTTCCGCGCTTTTGCACATATAATGTGCGGAGTTTATTCTCACATCTTTGACAGAACTCTGGCGGGGCGGCATCCTTGGATGTGTGAATACCTTGCGTTTGACGGCCGGTGGGGTCCATGGGGTTGAGTTGGGTAGCGATTGTGTAACGCATTGTCATTAATTTATTGTGGCGTTGGTCGTTGCGTGGCGGACCGTTGTCTAACTTATGTATTATATTCTGACTTACGTGAGAATCGACTTTAATGTCCGCGTCTGGCGAATGTCTCTATATGAAAGAATCGCGCGCCTTATTTGTGGATTTTGTTATCACTGTGAGTAGATGGATGCGAGGGATGCTTATATAAATTTTACACGGTAGGCGGGATCGAAATGATTAACATAATCATATGTAGATCATGAGGTGATACCTGGAAAGGTTTTTTCCTCGATTAGATAATAAGATGACAACATATGAATAATTTAGTTCCTCTTAGATGGGGATATGTTAAATTGTTACATTAGAGAAAATATTTGAATAATTATCACTACATCTGCACAATAGTTCGTGTTGATGACATTTATAAGATAAAACTTATTATATTTATTATATTTACTTATTATATTTATAAGATAAAACTTATTATATTTATTATTATTAATAGTTAGAGTTACACTAAGAATAGGAATGCATATGAGCTAAAATACGTACATCTTTATTAGATATAAAAAAATTAGAACTAGTGAATGATTATTATACTCTTTTTACTTGCCGGTATATTAATATTGTGCAACTACAATAATTGGCTACGATCATTTAATTGCGTACTACATATTCTGGGAATAACTCCGAACAACTGAAAAGACTGAAATAAGCTAAATGATCGAGGTCTGCGCATTTTTATAAAACTTCTTCTAGAAAGGACTTGTAATTGAATATTGGGAATTAAAGCCTTAAGTTCTTTATCAGATAAGAGCGTTAATATAATGAATTGTGCTTGCACTCTCGAAGTAATTATAATCAAGGCATATATATTGTAACGTCTGGAGAGCCGCCATTTATATTGTTTCCCCTTCCACGCATGTAATATTATCTTAGTATAATTCATCGCCAGCGATCGAGAACGGCCATTGGCTCTTCTGCCGTTCCGCCTAACATGGCGCGCCCCACCACTATTATGTTACATAGATGTAATATTATTTTAACCGTCTTCTTCAATAATTATAAATATTAACATTTAATAACACATGCATTCGATTATCCTAACCACTTTCCTTACTAACTATAAACAATAATATTTGACATAATACACAAAATACTTCATAAATTATACTTTAAAAATATTTAAATTATAATAATAAATATAATGTTCCTTAAACATACCTAAATACCAGGTGTATGCATAAGTTTTTTCCTGTTTTTTAGTAAAAAAAGACACGTAATTTTCAAGGGAAATTAATTTTTTTTATTCAAAATATTGGCCATCGGCTTCTACACATTTCGCCCATCTTTCAGGTAATTTATGAATACCATGCCAGAAAAACTGCTTGTCTTTTGCGGCAAACCATTCGTCGAGCCATTTTCCAACTTCCTCGAAATTGCTGAAGTGCTGCTCTGCGAGTGCCCCATTGATGCGAAGAAGTGATAGTCAGATGGCGCCAGGTCTGGGGAGTACGACGGGTGCGGAAGGATGTCCCATCCAAGCGATTTCAAGGTGTCTTTCACTGGTTTTGCTGTGTGAGACGGCGCATTGTCGTGTAACAAAATCACTTTGCCATGTTTTCTGGCCCATTCCGGTCGTCTTTCGATTAATGCGTGGTTTAAATTAATCATTTGTTGGCGATAGCGTTGTGTATTAACGGTTTCGCCAGGCTTCAAGAGTTCATAATACAAAATACCGCTCTGGTCCCACGAGACACAGAGCATGGTCTTTTTGCCGAAGCGATTTGGCCTTGGTGTTGATGGACCGGTTTTGCCAGGTGAAAGCCACGATTTTTTCCGCTTCGGGTTTTCAAAATAAATCCATTTTTCGTCACCCGTCACAATTCGATACAAAAATGATTTCCTTTCGTGGCGTTGAAGCAGCATTTCACAAGTGACTTTGCGATTTTCCATTTGACGTTCATTCAAATCGTGTGGGACCCATTTACCGAGTTTATTGATCTTTTCCATTGCTCGTAAACGTCTGCTGATTGTTTCTTGTGATACATGTAATGCTTCTGCTAATTGCCGTTGAATTTGAGTTGGGTCATCATCCAATAACTCCTGCAATTGCTCGTCTTCGCATTTTTGTGGTCTACCAGAGCGCTCACTGTCTTTCACATTGAAATCACTACTTTTAAATTGTCGAAACCATGTCTCACATGTTCTAATCGATGGAGCGTATTCACCATATGTTTCTATCAGCAAACGATAACTTTCAACAGCCTTTTTCTTTTGATTAAATAAAAAAAAGACAATGCGTGCCGCAAATGTTCTTTTTCAGGCACAAAACTCGACATGATCACTGAACGATAAACAAAACGGTAGTTTTTGGCAGACTCAACTTGTGTGTGTTTGTAGTTTTAAATGTCAGACGAGCAAAATGATGTATGTGTCAAATTAATACGCGGCGTACTTTTCGCTGGCGACATCTCTTAGTTAAACCGGAAAAAACTTATACATACACCTGGTATAATACCTGCATCAATAATAAGATCATGTTAATGATAACGATATTAATTTAATTAATTGTAAGATTATTACTACAATAAAGCTCGTATTACTGTTACGCGCATCATCTCCAGTCAGCCACGCGCTGATTGGCCGACCAACGGTCGCCATAGATATGCACAACTAGCCTAGCTCTATAGTCTATGCCGCCGCCAACGCCACGTGCGTTGGCGTACCCACGCTACCGCCATGTTGCGCAACAGCGCCGCCGCAGGCACGTGCTACAACGCGCGGCCATACTCGTTCACTTTCGTGCGCGCCGTCAACCAAGTAACACATCGCTCCACGTGAGCATTTCGCGACATACTGTTGGTATCCTAACTCAATTTCTAATTTCCTTTCAACTTCTAGTTAAGTTCCTAATTAAGTCTCAAATTAGTAATCCGATAGTGTTAAGATTATTTACTATTTACTAATTTATTTACTACTAGATTATTTAGTACTTACTACTTACTACTAGATAGTTTGTGTGTCAGAGCGCGAGTGTATTCTCTTTCCTTAAATAAATTTAGATTTTTGTGTAACCACGTGGTCAGTTAATTTCGGAATCCTCATCACCGCTTTTATCAGCATTAGAATAAAGCTTCGCGCGTGCTTTTAATTAATCTCCTGAATATAACTTTTAATTAATCTCCTGAATATAATAATATAAAGTTTGAATCACGTGTTTGCTCTTTCATACGATTCATCACCGCGTTTACTAACGGAAGTGTTCACGAGGACACGAGGCAATTAGTTAATAGCAAGTCCAATATCGATTAACCGCTTAATCCATAATTAAAGCAAGAATTCCGGTCGTTTCTGGGGGCAAGGTGTTGTGCGTCATCCGCACTTACCACGAAGGAAACATCGGATTTCGATTTACACGTGGTAGCTCCTGCATTCCGACACGACGCCGAACCAATGCGTAATTGGCTCGCAGCCGAATGTGATATCCTAACCCTAACTTTTTAATTAAATATAATATACACCTAAAGCCTCTGTCGAATGCCTAAGGCACGGAAAAATCGCGCGGGGCGTAGTAACGCTATACGACACCTCGAATACGATCTTCATGTGGCCGCGATTTTCGGTCACAACGCAATCATCGGCGAGATAACCTTCGACGGGGAGTACGAGCTCCTGGTGCACGACCGTCTCTGGGGCGCCCTGCCCGCGCAGCCCGCACCAACCAGCACCACCCAAGAATCCCGCTCCCAGCCGCGAATCTCTCTCCAAGACTATTTGCAGAGAGCTTCCAACGAAAGATAAATAGCTAAATTGTTAATAAATTATTATAAGATATATACGCGTATATTTCTCGCGCTATTTTCCCTGTTGCGTCAGCCGAACGTGTTCGTGCAAGTTCAACGATCGCTTCTACAAAGGGAAAGCCTGACCGGAAGGGTTTACGACCGACCCCTTTGTTTTTTTTGGGACATAGTTTTTGCCCCGTCCGACGACTTCACTCGGAAAATGCACTCTTAAATGCTTGTTTCAAACTTGCTAGCTTCGATAATATTCCGTAATATTATTCAACAACATGCAGAGACGCGTTTTACCTTCGCGGATACTATTGGATTAATTAATATGATGTGCTTCTCTCGGTCTGATGCCACTCGCGGTTCGCGCACGCATTCAGCCGCCATATTCCAACATCGCACCGGTTCAGTGCGCTGCATTACTTCCTTCGGTTATCGCCGTGTAAATAATTCAGCTGCTGACAATTATCCCAATAGCGCCGAGTTTCTCTGTTATCGTTGTAAGGAATTAATGCCCGAGGGCATCCTCTCTTACCGCTTGAAATTAACTCATTCATTTCAATTCGGATTCACCGGGTCCCAAGATTTCTGCGAATGTTGTCGTATCCCGCTTTCGTTAATCCGCGAAATCGAGCACTGCGACGCGTGTTCCAAGGTTTTCGTTGTTGCCCTAGAAGTACTTGAAGAAGAGGGAGAGGCTATCGAACACGTTCGCGCTCGATATTATCTTGACGATACTAACGCTGCTTCAGACGTCATTGTCTCGCGCCGACTCACGACTTCTCCGTCTCGTTGCTTAACTGTGAGGAATAATAGCCAGGCGCGATTGCGCTAATACTAAGAATTAGATTCCCTGCTGCTCAATCGCACTATTTATTCTAGTGA